CACAATGGGTTTCAATCCTGACCATTGGCAATAGCCTATACTGTCTTAACACAATGGGTTTCAATCCTGACCATTGGCAATAGCCTATACTGTCTTAACACAATGGGTTTCAATCCTGACCATTGGCAATAGCCTATACTGTCTTAACACAATGGGTTTCAATCCTGACCATTGGCAATAGCCTATACTGTCTTAACACAATGGGTTTCAAACCTGACCATTGGCAATAGCCTATACTGTCTTAACACAATGGGTTTCAATCCTGACCATTGGCAATAGCCTATACTGTCTTAACACAATGGGTTTCAATCCTGACCATTGGCAATAGCCTATACTGTCTTAACATAATGGGTTTCAATCCTGACCATTGGCAATAGCCTATACTGTCTTAACACAATGGGTTTCAAACCTGACCAGTGGCAATAGCCTATACTGTCTTAACACAATGGGTTTCAATCCTGACCATTGGCAATAGCCTATACTGTCTTAACACAATGGGTTTCAATCCTGACCATTGGCAATAGCCTATACTGTCTTAACACAATGGGTTTCAATCCTGACCATTGGCAATAGCCTATACTGTCTTAACACAATGGGTTTCAATCCTGACCATTGGCAATAGCCTATACTGTCTTAACACAATGGGTTTCAATCCTGACCATTGGCAATAGCCTATACTGTCTTAACACAATGGGTTTCAATCCTGACCATTGGCAATAGCCTATACTGTCTTAACACAATGGGTTTCAATCCTGACCACTGGCAATAGCCTATACTGTCTTAACACAATGGGTTTCAATCCTGACCATTGCAATAGCCTATACTGTCTTAACACAATGGGTTTCAATCCTGACCATTGGCAATAGCCTATACTGTCTTAAACACAATGGGTTTCAATCCCTGACCATTGGCAATAGCCTATACTGGTCTTAACACAATGGGTTTCAATCCTGACCATTGGCAATAGCCTATACTGTCTTAACACAATGGGTTTTCAATCCTGACCATTGGCAATAGCCATACTGTCTTAACACAATGGGTTTCACCTGACCATTGGCATAGCCTATACTGTCTTAACACAATGGGTTTCAAACCTGGACCATTGGCAATAGCCTATACTGTCTTAACACAATGGGTTTCAATCCTGACCATTGGCAATAGCCTATACTGTCTTAACCCAATGGGTTTCAATCCTGACCATGGCAATAGCCTATACTGTCTTAACAAATGGGTTTTCAATCCTGACCATTGGCAATAGCCTATACTGTCTTAACACAATGGGTTTCAATCCTGACCATTGGCAATAGCCTATACTGTCTTAACACAATGGGTTTCAATCCTGACCATTGGCAATAGCCTATACTGTCTTAACACAATGGGTTTCAACCCTGACCATTGGCAATAGCCTATACTGTCTTAACACAATGGGTTTCAAACCTGACCATTGGCAATAGCCTATACTGTCTTAACACTGCAGCCAGAGTTCCTTTGGGTTCAGGCCTACTAATACACATTCAGGACATTTCCAACCCTTCATCCTCTCTCAGAATAGATGTGTCCTTATTAGAAAACAGAAGACTAGATCTGCATCCCCAATGGTAGCCTATTCCCTTTATAGTGCACTACTTTAGTTATTTGAGAAAGTGGATGTATTTCCCTAAAAATGTATTCCAAAAGGGTTCCAGGGAATATAGCTGGAAGGAAGAGCGGTGTTTAATTGCCTCAGATTTTAAATTGAAATATGAAAATTAAGAAGCAGAATCCATGTGCAAAAGAAACATTGTGCCATCTGGTCAGAGCAGATATGGTGAGAGTATGATTTTATGAGTTTTGCTTCTAAAGCTTAGGTTTTAAAGTCTGAATATTACTTTCAGCCGCTCATCTAACTTCATTACGGTCCATAATACTGCACTACTCAGACTCATTCCCTGCTGTCACCACAGGGACGGAGGGAGGGAGGGAGGGAGTTATTAGGTACACCACCCCGTTCATGAAAATGGATCGCTCCTACAGACAGTCACAAGGCCGTGGCTTGCTATATAAAGCAGGCAGACAGGCAGACAGGCATCAAGGCATTCAGTTACTGTTCAATTGAGCGTTAGAATGGGCAAAACGAGTGACCTAAGCGACATTGAGAGTGGTATGATAGTCGGTGCCAGGCGCGCCGGATCCAATATCTCAGAAAATGGCCGGCGTCCTGGGCTTTTCATGCATGACAGTGTCTAGGGTTTACCGAGAATGGCGCGACACACAAAAAACATCCAGTCAGCGGCAGTTCTGTGGGCAAAAACAGCTCGTTGATGAGAGATGTCGAATGAGAATGGCAAGAATCGTATAAGCTAACAGGCTGGCCACAAAAAGACAAATAACGGCGCAGTACAATAGTGGTTTGCAGAATGGCATCTCAGAATGCACAACTCAGCGATTTACTCTCACGAATGGGCTATTGCAGCAGACGACCACACCGGGTTCAACTCTTACCAGAAAAAGCGGCTCCAGTGGGCACGTGATCACCAACACTGGACAATTGAGGAGTGGAAAAACATTGCCTGGTCCAATGAATTACGGTTCCTGTTGCGTCATTCTGATGGCAGAGTCAGGATTTGGCGTAAGCACCATCCTGCCTGGTGTCAACGGTACAGGCTGGTGGCAGTGGTGTACCACCGTCCAATCTGCAGCAAATGCGTGATGCCATCGCTTCAGCATGGACCAACATCCCTGTGGAACGTTTCCAACTTGTAGAATCCATGCCCCGAAGAATTCAGGCTGTTCTGGAGGCAAACGGGGTCCGACCCGGTACTAGATGGGTGTACCTAATAAACTGTCCGGTGAGTGCAATAACTAATGAAAATCACTTAATACCCCAAAAGAAAACTCCATACTCTTTAATTTTCACACTATGTGGCTTCGTTCTATCTGCTAAATTCATCATATCATTATTTATTTATTTTTGGGGGGTGAAATGCAGTGATATACAGTGCATTCGGAAAGTATTCAGACCCCTTCACCTTTTCCACATTTTGTTATGTTACAGCCTTATTCTAAAATTGATTACATTGTTTCAATCTACACACAATACCCCATAATGACAAAGCCAAAAACAGTTTTTTAGAAATTTTTGCAGATGTATTAAAAATTAAAAACGGAAATATCACATTTACATAAGTATTCAGACCCTTTACATAGTACTTTGTTGAAGCACCTTTGGCAGCGATTACAGCCTCAATTCTTCTTGGGTATGATGCTACAAGCTGTATTTGGGAAGTTTCTCCCATTCTTCTCTGCAGATCCTCTCAAGCTCTGTCAGGTTAGATGGGGAGCGTCACTGCACAGCTATTTTCAGGTCTCTCCAGAGATGTTAGATCGCGTTCAAGTCCGGGCACTGGCTGGGCCATTCAAGAACATTCAGAGACTTGTCCCGAAGCCACAATCTTGGCAAAGTGCTTAGGGTCGTTGTCTTGTTGGAAGGTGAACCGTCGCCCCAGTCTGAGGTCCTGAGCGCTCTGGAGCAGGTTTTCATCAAGGATCCTGACTAGTCTCCCAGTCCCTGCCGCTGAAAGACATCCCCACAGCATGATGCTGCCACCACCATGCTTCACCATAGGGATGGTGCCAGGTTTCCACCAGAAGTGACGCTTGGCAGAGAATCTTGTTTCTCATGGTCTGAGAGTCCTTTAGGTGCCTTTTTGCAAACTCCAAGCGGGCTTTCATGTGCCTTTTACTGAGGAGTGGCTTCCATCTGGCCACTCTACCATAAAGGCCTGATTGGTGGAGTGCTGCAGAGATGGTTGTCCTTCTGGAAGGTTCTCCCATCTCCACAGAGGAACTCTGGAGCTCTGTCAGAGTGACCATCGGTTTCTTGGTCACTTCCCTGACCAAGGCCCTTCTCCCCCGATTGCTCAGTTTTGACGGGCGGCCAGCTCTAAGAAGATTCTTGGTGGTTCCAAACTTCTTCCATTTAAGAATGATGGAGGCCACTGTGTTCTTGGGGACCTTCAAAGCTGCAGACATTTTTTCGTACCCTTCCCCAGATCTGTGCCTTGACACAATCCTGTCTCGGAGTTCTGACATGCACTGTCAACTGTGGGACCTTATATAGACAGGTGTGTGCCTTTCCAAATCATGTCCAATCAATTGAATTTACCACAGGTGGACTCCAATCAAGTAGTAGAAACATCTCAAGGATGATCAATGGAAACAGGATGCACCTGAGCTCAATTTCGAGTCTCATAGCAAAGGGTCTGAATACTTATGTAAATAAGGTATTTCTGTTTTGTTTTTTTAATAGATTTGCAAACATTTCTAAAAACCTGTTTTCGCTTTGTCATTATGGGGTATTGTGTGTAGATTGATGAGGATTTATTTAATCAATTTTAGAATAAGGCTGTAACGTAACAAAATGTAGAAAACGGGAAAGGATCTGAATACTTTCCGAATGCACTGTATATACTCTTATAGTGCTGATATACTCATGCACTCTGGTGTAGAAGCAAATTATAATTTATACTATCAATAATTTGAGCAGCTCCTTTACTATTAATACCATTGATCCATCTGTAATCCCCCGAGCACCCTATAGGGATTCTTTTTTATTTTTTTTCTTCATCATTGTTTATACCGATCTAAAATGACACAGATCCGCGATGCTTTAGGCTAGAAACAAGGGAATACACAGTATTTGGTTTAGCTCTATGACATTCCGAAGCTGAGCTGCGACCTTCTGAAGTCGAGGAGTCAAAAGAAATTGCACTTTGCTTGGGATGTAATCTTATACAATGTGGGACTCTGTCGCCATCAATTGATCGATTCACTTTCTGTAAAAGAGGGAAAATGTACTTGCTACGACTGTGGTATGTTGTTTTACCACCTAGCTATCTTAAGATGAATGCACTAAGTGTAAGTCGCTCTGGATAAGAATCTGCTAAATGACTACAATGTTAATGTATTGTCTAGTACTAGGCTTAATCTGTGTCCAGTGGTGGCAGAAGCGTCCAGTGTACTTACACAGTGTGTGGCATGCTGTCCTGTAGTTTCTCTAACTGCTCAGGGAACACAGGGTGAGGTAGCTCTCCAATGGGGACACAGCCCAGAGACTTACTGATGGCGTGGCTCAGTTTTTTAGCCGGAGACTTCTGTGAGAGGCAGAAACAAGACGGTGGACATTACATTCACTATTTTTATTATCAGGGTTAGGGGTTGATTATATTTTAATTCATTCAATTCAGGACAATTCAGTCGATTCAGGAAGTATACTGAAATTCCAGTTTACTTCCTGAATTGATTGAAGGGAAATTGACCCCAACCCTGTCTGTTATAATGTGGGAATTGCTTATAGAAGTAGTGTAAAGAGATGTATAGTAATTGACCTTAAATGTTTCTAAAATACCCAGTTATATTATGTAATGCATTGTGTACCGAGAATGACAAGGTTGGTTCAAGCAGAATGGGACCAAATTCGTAGTTCTCTTTGCTTTGTCATAGATGTTTACTCTGACAATTTCCATGCCCTTTTTCTACTTCCAAATATGCTCAGCCATTTCATTCTGGCCATGATGCCCTCAAAATAAAATAATAATTACCATCCTGATCGTGGGCACAGAGAGAGTTCAGGATTGGATTTGTAACCAGTGCAAATCATTTTCCCAGCATCAATTTACATCACACTGATTGAAAATTGGGAGAATGCTGGCATTGGCTTTGCTTTGGAAATTAAATCAATTCAATTAAATTTGCTGGAATGAGTAAAAACCCATAAAATCCCTTTTCAGAATATTTAAAAAAGGTTAGTTGATGTGGAAACAAGCCCAATGCTCTGCTTATGCATGCAGGTGGCTATTGGATTGTCTGAGCGCAAAGGAAGGCTGAATCTTGGTATTCGTTAAGCTGAAACTATCATAACTTATCTTTGGTGTGTATGAGTGTGATTGTGGGACGTGGTCTTAAAAATATGTCTCCTCTTCGCCTCCTCTCCTTCATTGTACTGACCTGAAAGAACCGAGCAGGTGAAAGCCAGTCTAATAATGAGCTTCCACCATATTGTTTTCACCTGTCCATTATCTTTACAACGAGTGCAGATGAAGGGGAGGAGACAAGGAGAGGAGGGATTTTAATAACCAATTGCGATACAGCCTTTGTGGTTGCCGTGCCTACCCAAGAGGAGTGCTCCTTCATCTGATGCTGGTTGCTATGGGGACCATTGGCATGGCCACGCCAGAAGCAGCTCTGACAGAGTTGGTAGCCATGGCACTGTTGGCACCGGTAACGGAACCCCATCATACTTTCACTCCGGCAATAAGAACATTCCACGGGATGGAAGACTAGAGGAAACCAAAGATAAATGGTTAGTAGGTCACTGATGAAATGTTGATACAGAGAGACATAACATATTATAAGACAATATAATAGCACATATATGCTTATAACAAGTGATAAAGCATAATATCTACAGGCTTTAAGTGAAGTCTTACCACATTTCTCAATACAAATGCTTAGATTGATTAGAATGACTATTATTGGTGTTTGGAAAATTCACTGTGAAAATAAAGTCAAGGGAACTAATAACAGGGAAACGTTACCATTTTCAACATTAGCAAGTCGGTGCATGAGAGGTAACCATACGAGACACTGGGGGGGCGGATCTGCCATCAAAATGTCCAAAAACGTGTTCAGCAAGATCTTCTTCTAGATACAAACACACCACAATATATTCAGTTATACAGAGAAGAACTTCTAGATACAAACACACCACAAAGCATTCAGTTATACAGATAGAAGAGCAGAATGGAACAATATAAATCATTCTCAGATAGATCTGGATACAAACAGATTTAGGTAAGGTTAATTGACAGCAGAACAGCAAAAGCTTGTCCATTGTTTGTCTCAAATGGCATACTATTCCCTATGTAGTGCACTACTTTTGACCAGGGCCCATTGGGTTCTGGTAAAAATTAGTGCGCTATATAGGGAATAGGGTGCCATTAGGGAATAAGGTGCCATTTGGGACGTAACCCATAGTGAATGAAATGGACACCACTGCAAAAGGTCATCTTCAATAATAGATGAATGTGCATAGCTTATTGAAGATAACCTTTTGGAGTGATGTCCATTCAATCTTTTATGGTCTGTGGACTATATTTACAAGGTTCCTCCCTCATCCTCTGTTCACATCTCTCTCTCTAAGTATATTATGCACGCTGTATATTATTTCAGTGAGAGAAACCCTCTTGGTCTGTCCAACCTACCTGCTGAGGGAAGCATGTCCGTACGGAGTGTTCTGTGTATCCAAACGACGGGCCCTCGAACACAGCTGTGGGCAGCTTCAGAACTTCACGAAGAAACTGGTCAAACTTAGCAAAGACCATCACACCATTAGAGTCAGAGATCTGCGAGAAGATATCTGCGAGAGAGAGACAGAAAGAGAGGAAGAGGTGGAGAGAGGTGTAGAGGGGAGAGAGAGGTGTAGAGGTAGAGAGGGGTGTAGAGGAGAGAGAGAGAGAGGTGTAGAGAGGTAGAGAGAGGTGTAGAGGTAGAGAGAGAGGTGTAGAGGAGAGAGAGTGTAGGAGAGAGGTAGAGTGAGAGAGAGGATAGAGGGGTAAGAGTAGAGGTAGAGAGATGTAGGGTGAGAGAGAGGTGTAGAGGTAGAGAAGAGTGTAGAGGTAAGAGAGAGGTAGATAGAGAGGTAGAGGTAGGAGAGAGTGTAGATGTAGAGAGAGAGGTAGAGAGGAGTGTAGAGGTAGAGAGAGAGTGAGGTGAGAGAGGGTAGAGAGAGAGGTATAGAGAGAGGAGGTAGAGAGTAGAGAGAGAGGTGTAGGTAGTAGAGAGGTAGAGGAGTGTAGAGGTAGGAGAGGTAGAGAGAGAGGTGAGAGAGGTAGAGTAAGAGAGAGGTGAGGGGTAGAGGTTTAGAGAGAGAGGTGTGAGAGGTAGAGAGAGAGAGGTAGAGAGAGAGGTTAGGAGAGAGAGAGGTGTAGAGTAGAGGAGTGTAGATAGAGAGAGAGGGTAGAGGTAGAGGAAGAGTGTAGAGGTAGAGAGAGAGAGGTGTAGAGGGTAGAGAGAGAGGTGTAGAGGGAGAGAGAGAGGTGTAGAGGTAGAGAGAGAGGTGTAGAGGGTAGAGAGAGAGGGGTAGAGGTAGAGAGAGAGGTATAGAGGTAGAGAGAGAGGTATAGAGGTAGAGAGAGAGGTAGAGAGAGAGGTGTAGAGGTAGAGAGATAGAGGGGTAGAGAGCGGTGGTGAGTACATAAAGTTTACATACAGTACCAGTCAAAAGCTAGGACACACCTACTCATTCAAGGGTTTTTCTGTATTTTTACTATTTTCTACATTGTAGAATAATAGTGAAGGCATCAAAACTATGAAATAACACATAGTAACCAAAAAAGTGTTAAACAAATCGAAATATATTTTAGATTCTTCAAATAGCCACCCTTTGCCTTGACAGCGTCGCACACTCTTGGCATTCTCTCAACCAGCTTCATGAGGAATGCTTTTCCAACAGTCTTGAAGGGGTTCCCACATATATCACTTCTTGGCTGCTTTTCCTTCACTCTGCGGTCCAACTCATCCCAAACCATCTCAATTGGGTTTAGGTTGGGTGATTGTGGAGGCCAGGACATCTGATGCAGCACTCCATCACTCTCCTTCTTGGTCAAATAGCCCTTACACAGCCTGGAGGTGTGTTTTGGATCATTGTCCTGTTGAAAAACAAATGATAGTCCCACTAAGCGCTAACCAGATGGGATGGCGTATCGCTGCAGAATGCTGTGGTAGCCATGCTGGTTAAGTGTGCCTTGAATTCTAAATAAATGACAGACAGTGTCACCAGCAAAGCACCCCCACACCATCACACCACCTCCTCCATGCTTCACGGTGGGAACCACACATGCGGAGATCATCTGTTCACCTACTCTGCGTCTCACAAAGACACAGCAGTTGGAACCAAAAATCTCACATTTGGACTCATCAGACCAAAGGACAGATAGTAGTGGTGTCTTTGCAGCAATTCGACCATAAAGGACTGATTCATGCAGTCTCTTCTGAACAGTTGATGTTGAGATGTGTCTGTTACTTGAACTCTGTGAAGCATATGTTTGGGCTGCAATCTGAGGTGCAGTTAACGCTAATGAACTTATCCTCTGCAGCAGAGGTAACTCTTGGTCTTCCTTTCCTGTGCCGGTCCTCATGAGAGCCAGTTTCATCATAGCGCTTGATGGTTTTTGCGACTGCACTTGAAGAAACTTTCAAAGTTCTTGAAATGTTCCAATTGACTGACCTTCATGTCTTAAAGTAATGATGGATTGTCGTTTCTCTTTGCTTATTTGAGCTGTTCTTGCCAGAATATGGACTCAGTCTTTTACCAAATAGGGCTATCTTCTGTATAGCAACCCTACCTTGTCACAACACAACCGATTGGCTCAAACGGATAAAGAAGGAAAGAAATTCCACAAATTAACAAGGCTAACCTGTTAATTGAAATTCATTCCAGGTGACTACCTCATGAAGCTAGTTGAGAGAATGCCAAGAGTGTGCAAAGCTGTCATCAAGGCCAAGGGTGGCTACTTTGAAGAATCTCAAATATAAAATATATTTTGATTTGTTTAACACTTTTTTGGTTACTACATGATTCCATATGTGTTATTTCATAGTTTTGATGTCATCAATTTATTATTCTACAATGTAGAAAATAGTAAAAATTAAGAAAAACCCTGGAATGAGTAGGTGTGTCCAAACTTTTACTAGTACTGTACATCTATGCCATATATAAGCTATTTCTACAATTTATTGAATATGAGCTATGGATGATCCTTCTTCTTGACACTTCCATCTTATAAAACTACAACAACGTTAGTGCTGGAAATGTGACTCAACAGCGTCCCTTTGTGTATCATTTATGCAACTGCAGACACTGTAGCCAAGGGGTTCTCAAACTTTTTGGGGCCAGGTACCCAATTTGTTGAAGCAAATTCATCAGGGACCCCCTTTATAATCAGAAAACAACTCGAGTGAGAAAAAAATAGCATGCAAGGAACATACAACATTTTAAAGGCCCTCTTCTTGGCATTGGAGAGAACGTTTAGCAGTTTAAGCTAATTTCCTGCAATTCTACACATTTTGTCATGGGGCAGAGAGATTTTTTCTTGTTGCAGCTTCAAGGCTAATAACCTGCAATTCAAACATTTGTACTACGAGGCAGAGAGAAAACGTTGCAGTTTTGAAGCTTAAATTACAGTGCCTTCAGAAAGTATTCACACCCCTTGACTTTTTCCAGCGATTACAGCTGTGAATTGTTGGGGAAGTCTCTAAGAACTTTCTACACCTGGATTGTGCAACATTTGCCCATTATTATTTTCAAAATTCTTCAAGCTCTGTCAAATTGGTTGTTGATCATTGCTAGACAACCATTTTCAAGCCGATTTAAGTCAAAACTGTAACTCTGCCATTCAGGAACATTCACCGTCTTCTTGGTAAGCAACTCTAGTGTAGATTTGGCTTTGTTTTGTGTTATCGTCCTGTTGAAAGATGAATTCATCTCCCAGTGTCTGGTGGAAAGCAGACGGAACCAGATTTTCCTCTAGGATTTTGCCTGTGCATAGCTCCATTTTGTTTCATTTTTTTTCTGAAAAACTCCCCTGTCCTTAACGATTACAAGCATACCCATAACATGATGCAGCCTGAAAATATGGAGAGTGTTGTATTGGATTTGCCACAAACATAACACTTTGTATTTAGGACAAAAAGTTAATTGCTTTGCAAAATGTTTTGCAGTATTACTTTAAGGCCTTGTTGCAAACAGGATGCATGTTTTGGAATATTTTTATTCTGTACAGGCTTCTTTCATTTCACTCTGTCAATTAGGTTACTATTGTGGAATAACTACAATGTTGTTGATCCATCCTCAGTTTTCTCCTATCACAGCCATTAAACTCAGTAACTGTTTTAAAATCACCATTGGCCTCATTGTGAAATCCCTGAGCGATTTCCTTCCTCTCTGGCAACTGAGTTAGGATGGACGCCGGTATCTTTGCAGCGACTGGGTGTATTGATACACCATCCAAAGTTGAATTAATAACTTCACCATGCTCAAAGGGTTCTTCAATGTCTGCTTTTTTTTTACTCATCTACCAATAGGTGCCCTTCTTCGCAAGGCATTGGAAAACCTCCCTGGTCTTTGTGGTTGAATCTATGTTTGAAATTCACTGCTCGACTGAGGGACTTTACAGATAATTGTATGTGTGGGATACAGAGATGAGGTAGTCATTAAAAAATCATGTTAAACACTATTATTGCACACAGAGTGAGTCCATGCAACTTATTATGTGACTTGTTCAGCTTTTCATTTTTTATTAATTTGTAAACATTTCTAAAAACATAATTCCACTTTGACATTATGGGGTATTGTGTGTAGGCCAGTGACCAAAGAATCTAAATGTAATCCATTTTAATATCCCTGTGAGCCTCCCAGGTCCATGTTTCCCAGGGTTAAGAACATACATTGTAGATTAATAATATTACATTGTATGGCATTACACCCTCTAAATGTATTCCATGTATCCCTTGACCAACATTTGTTTAATCTGTTGTTGTTAGTAATATTCTTTTTTTTCCATTTTTTATGAGAAAACCTTTTTTGTTTTTTACATGTATTTTGAGATCTGGCAAAAGACCCCACTTTGAAAACCCCTGTTGTAGCCTACATGTATTCAGGATTTCCTGTTGTCTGATGCAAACTAATTTGCAAACTAAGCCATCAAATTAAAAGTGTGACTACTGCAGAACAGAATTAACTTTCCTTTAAGTTGCTTTAACTGTAACTTATACCCTGGGCTAAGTTCATGAACATATACTTACAACGTAGTTTGTCCACTATTTTCCCTCCACACATAGTCGCCAACATGGACTTCATCGAGAAAATGGTCAGTTTCCCGTGGCCTTCACTAAACACACAAAAAAACATACATTTTCCTAAATGTATAACAAAGGTATCTATTCACAACTGAAACACACACACTGTTATCATACTGACAAAGGAGAAGCATATTCCCTTTACAACAAAGCAAATACTTTTTTCCATGATCTACTAGCTTTAGCTTGCTGACCACAATGTAGAACAAATAACTGCCACTTCTGAATCCATCTTGACCATGTTGTCTGAAGGCCCAAAATCATTTGAAGGGGAGAGCTCAGAGTTCAGTCCAGCATACTGATTAATTTAGTCCAGGTACACACAGACACAATCATCTGACGTGCTTTACACTTTCATCCCATCACGTTTAATATATATAATATATATAATTAATATAAAGTCGGATTATACTCCGGAATCCGACTTTGCTCGTCCTAATATTTATATATTTCTTAATTCCATTCTTTCACTTTTTAGATTTGTGTGTATTGTTGTGCATTGTTAGATATTACTGCACTGTTGGAGCTAGGAACATAAGCATTTCGCTACACGATCTGCTGTGTCACAGCCGGCCGTGACCGGGAGACCCATGAGGCAGCGCACAATTGGCCCAGTGTCGTCCGGGTTAGTGGAGGGTTTGGCAGGCCGGAATTCCTTGTCCCATTGCGCTCTAGCGACTCCTTGTGGCAGGCCGGGTGCCTGCAAGCTGACTTCAGTCACCAGCTGGACGGTGTTTCCTCCGACACATTGGTGCGGCTGGCTTCCGGGTTAAGCGAGCAGTATGTCAAGAAACAGTGCGGCTTGGCAGGGTCGTGTTTCATGGTACGCATGGCTCTCGACCGTCGCCTCTCCCGAGTCCGTAGGGGAGTTGCAGCGATGGGACAAGACCTACCAATTGGATATCACGAAATTCTGAGAAAAAGGGCTAAAAGTACAAGAAAATATAAAAAAAATAAAGAAATTATATCTTGTTCTGAAAATAAGGTGTTGCACCAAACTTATATCAATGCAAATGTATACACTTGTCACGCCTTCTCCTGCTCCCTCCCTCTGGCGCGCGACGTCGCCGGTCTACTAACCACCCTTCCTGGCAACCATCCTTGCGCACACCTGGCAACCATCATTGCGCACACCTGGCAACCATCATTGCGCACACCTGGCAACCATCATTGCGCACACCTGGCAACCATCATTGCGCACACCTGCTCCCCATCGTTAAGCACACCTGGACTTAATCACCACCCTGGTTACTCTCCCTTCATATAGCCCTCACCAGCCTCAGTCATCAGGCAGTACTGGTTCTGTTTTCATGTCCAGACGCTTCTCTTGTTTTGTAACTCTCTATGTTCGTTATTATTAAACTCACCATCTGCACCTGCTTCCTGACTCCCTGCGTCGTCGTTACAACACTGAGTGTACAAAATATTAAGAACACCTTCCTAATATTGAGTTGCACCCCTTTTGCCCACGGAACAGCCTCAATTTGTCGGGGCATGGACTCTACAAGGTGTCGAAAGTGTCACATGTTGACTCCAATGCTTCCCACAGTTGTGTCAAGTTGGCTGGATGTCCTTTGGGTGGTGGACCACTCTTGATACACACGGGAAGCCGTTGAGCGTGGCACCTACTACCATACCCCGTTCAAAGGCACTTAAATATTTTGTCTTGCCCATTCACCCTTTGAATGGCACACATACACAATCCATGTCTCAATTGTCTCAAGGCTTAAAAATACTTCTTTAACCTGTCTCCTCCCCTTCATCTACACTGATTGAAGTGGATTTAACAGGTGAATCAATAAGGGATCATAGTTTTCACCTGGATTCACCTGGTCAGTTTATGTCATGGATAGAGCAGTTCCTAATGTTTGTATACTCAGTGTATATGTCATATTATATATCTAATGTACATCCTGTGTCTAATGTAGTGCACCTGTCGTATGTGGCCACCATGAAGTTGAGGAGCAGACTAATGGACTGCTCTACGTTGATCTGGTGCATGGTGGGAAGACGCTTGTTGAGCTGGTAGTAGATGGAGGACAGGATGGTCTCCAGTCTAGACACGTTGATCTCTGCGTTGTGGTCCAGCGTGTTCAGACCGCTGTCACGGAACGCCTCGATCATGTTCCACACATCCACCAGGTGCACTGAGATAGGGGGAGGAGGGAAGGAGAGATTTAGAAAATAATTGATTTCTTCAACATCAATGAATGATGTTCAAGTGTACCGTATGTGAAACAAACATGTGACATTGTCATGTGTACCAGTTGAAAACGTCAGAGTAAGATGTTCAGTAGAGGAAGGCAGTACTTACCGTTGCACCTTTTCTGCACGAATCTTAGCTTGCAGGCCGTCCTATAGGTTGACAGTCTGATGACGTCAAAGTTTTGTGCCCCTGATAAAAATAGAAAGATGACTCAACAAACTCTAACACAACCACACAAAACCCACTGTACGGTATACTGTAACGTGTATGGCTGTGAATGGCTTGACTAAGACACAGCAGTGTGAATGATTAGTCATGGTTTTGCTCTGGATATTTCACTCTCAGTCAGTGCATGTACTGCAGGGGTTCTTAAACTTTTTGGGGCCGGGGACCCCTTTTGTGAAAGCAAATTCATCAGGGACCTACTCATAAATCAGAACGCAACTAGAGTAAGATTTGTTTTTAAAGAATAGCATACAAGGCGATCTAATATGACTTCGGCAGTGCATGGGCCGGATGAACCAAGTCTAGGGCCCTGAGAAATACAATTTTAAAGGCCTATCTCTTGGCATCGGAGATACATTTTTGCAGTTTTCAAGCAAATGTACTGCAATTCTACACAATCTGTCATGGGGCACAAAGATTCATTGTTGCAGCTTTAAAGCTAATATCCTGCAATTCTACACATTCTGCCGTGAGGCAGAGAAACATTTGCTGTTTTAAAGCTTAAATTACAGTGCATTTATGTTAAAATAAAATAATTTTTGGGAGAATACAAGAAGTATTGAGTTGAAAAATGTATAATTGGTGGATTAACTGTGGATACCAATATCCCTGTTAGCCTCCCAGGCCCATGTTGCCCAGGGTTAAGAACATAAATTGTAGATTAATAATATTACATTGTTTTGTATTGTATTGTATTACAACCTCTAAACTTATTCCACGGAACCCTTGGCCAAGATTTGTTTAATCTGCTGTTGCTAATGTAAAAACAAAAATATATATATTTTGGGATCTGGCCGTGGACTCCCTGCGGTACCTCTGCAGACCCACAGGGGTCCCCGGACCCAACTTTGAGAACCCCTGAAGTAGAGGGGAATGTACAGTATAATACCTTACTGTGCAAGAGTGAATGGCTTGGCTAAGACACAGCAGAGTCTTAACAACAGAGTGTAAATGAATAGTAATGGTTTGGCTCTGGAGCTCTTTCTCTCTCTGTCTACTCACTCATCTCCATGAAGAGTTGTCTCTTCTCCACCACGGCCTGGCCTCGTTTACTGCCCTCCTCTATCATTCTGGGGGGAATACCACAACAGGCAATAAGCACGCGTTACCTTATCACTATGGAATTACATAATCATTGTAGACAATATACATTATCAAGGTGCATTAAATCGGTCTTCACTACCCTCCATCATTTTGGGGAAAGAATACAGCAAGCATTACTACCTACTCATTAAGTAATTGCATAATTATTGTATACATTATTAGGCTCTTGTATTATATTAGACCTATTACTCATTTTGAGGGAAATAAACCAGCAAGCATGCATTACCTACTCACTACTTAATTACATACCTGTAATCACTATATATCATTGTAATCATTATATACACTACTGTTCAAAAGTTTGGGGTCACTTAGAAATGTCCTTGTTTTCAAAATATATATTTTTTTTTTGTCCATTAAAATAACATCAAATTGATCAGAAATACAGTGTAGACATTGTTCATGTTGTAAATGGCTATTGTAGCTGGAAACGGCTGATTTTTTATGGAATATCTACATAGGCGTACAGAGGCCCATTATCAGCAACCATCAGTACAGTTTTCCAGTGGCACGTTGTATTTGCTAATCCAAGCTTATCATTTTAAAAGGCTAATTGGTCATTAGAAAACCCTTTTGCAATAATGTTAGCTCAGCTGAAAACTGTTGTGCTGATTTAAAGAAGCAATAAAACTGGCCTTCTTGAGGCTAGTTGAGTATCTGGAGCATCAGCAATTGTGGGTTCGATTACAGGCTCAAAATGGCCAGAACAAAGAAACTCGTCAGTCTATTCTTGTTCTGAGAAATGAAGGCTATTCTATGCGAGAAATTGCCAAGAAACTGAAGATCTCGTACAACGCTGTGTACTACTCCCTTCACAGAACCTGCGTAAATTGGCTCTAACCAGAATAGAAAGAGGAGTGGGAGGCCCCGGTGCACAACTGAGTAAGAAAAAGACATATCTCAGACTGGCCAATAAAAATAAAAGATTAAGATGGGCAGTCTGAGATATGGCTTTTTCTTTGCAACTCTGCCTAGAAGGTCAGCATCCCGGAGTCGCCTCTTCACTGATGACGTTGAGACTGGTGTTTTGCGGGTACTATTTAATAAAGCTGCCAGTTGAGGACCTGTGAGGCGCCTGTTTCTCAAACTAGACACTCTAATGTATTTGTCCTCTTGCTCAGTTGTGCACCGGGGCCTCCCACTCCTCTTTCTATTCTGGTTAGAGCCAATTTACGCAGGTTCTGTGAAGGGAGTAGTACACAGCGTTGTACGAGATCTTCCGTTTCTTGGCAATTTCTCGCATAGAATAGCCTTCATTTCTCAGAACAAGAATAGACTGACGAGTTTCAGAAGAAAGTTCTTTGTTCAGGCCATTTTGAGCCTGTAATCGAACCCACAATTGCTGATGCTCCAGATACTCAACTAGTCTCAAGAAGGCCAGTTTTATTGCTTCTTTAAAACCAGCACAACAGTTTTCAGCTGTGCTAACATAATTGCAAAAGGGTTTTCTAATGACCAATTCCCCTTTTAAAATGATAAACTTGGATTAGCCAACACAACGTGCCATTGGAACACTGGACTGATGGTTGCTGATAATGGGCCTCTGTACACCTATGTAGATATTCCATTAAAAATCAGCCGTTTCCAGCTACAATTGCCATTTACAACATTAACAATGTGTACACTGTATTTCTGATCAATTTGATGTTATTTTAATGGACCAAAAAAAATTGCTTTTCTTTCGAAAACAAGGAAATGTCTAAGTGACCCCAAACTTTTGAACGGTAGTGTACATTATCAAGGTCCATTATAGCCTTTGTACATTAAAGTTAAAGCAGTAGTGTAGAATATGAATCTAACTGATCCTGTATACTCTATACATTGATCACTCTAAGTATGTATACATCATATATGGAATGTTCAATAATGTACAACACATACACTGTTAGAAAATAGGGTTATTTGGCTGTCCCCATAGGAGAACCCTTTGAAGAATGCTTTTTGGTTCCAGGTAGAACCTTTTTCTGTGGAAAGGTTTCTACATGGAACCCAAAAGAGTTCTACCTGGACCCAAAAAGGGTTCTTCAAAGGATTCTCCTTAGAAAAGTTATAGATCTGTAATTTTCATTGAAAGCAAGTCTAAGAAGCGGTAGAGCTGTTCTATGTGCGCTATTTCGATGTTTCCCATTCTTAAGTTTAGTTTTTGCGTACTTTACTTTCGGTTTTGTACACCAGCTTCAAACAGATGAAAATACAATATTTTGGGTTATTGAAAAATATATTTCACAGCAGTTTAGATTGTACAATGATTCTCAACACATTGAGAATACATTGTCACATAAACTGAAATTAGGCAAACTATTAAGATATTTAGCATACAGGAAATGGCGGAGCGATTTCTACATATTGCACCTTTAAGAAAAAGTTAACTTTCTGTCAGATAAAAAATCCCAGAGGTAATTATTTACCTGTCGCTGACTGAATATTAAACAAAGTGAAGCATTAGCTGCTGCTGCCCCTGTGGAGAGAAGAACCATCAGTCAGTTAGCAAGTTGGTTCCTTCATATTCTGTGTGTCTGTTACGTTCTGTAGTAGTTACGATAAGCAGTCCTTCCAGACAAAATGGGTTTGACTTTTAAATTAGTCATTAGCACCCTCCCTTCAAGGACTTGATGAACTCTACAAAACATGTTTGTTTTTTTTCTTCCCGCAAAGGGGAACACACTTGAGTTCTACTGCTCTGTCTCTTTATAGTGCACTACTTTTGAGCAGGGGCCATAGGGCACTGGTCAAAAGTAGTGCACTTTATAGGGAATAGGGTGCCATTTGGGACACACTTCCTGTCTGTACCCTACAAATGATAATTCTCCATGACATCGCCACTCAGCTAAGACTGCATCCTGTGGACTAATGGTCCTGAATGCCAGCCAGGGATGCAGACAGAGGAGACACTTAATGATGATAGACACAGAACACATTACAACTATTCAATGATTGGTTCTGAAACCCGGGGAATGACACGATAGGCTTGGATGTCACCAGACCTGGGTTCAAATACTATTTGAAATTGTTTCAATACTTGTAGTGTTTCCTCTAGCATGCCTGGAGTGACAGGTGGATGGGGCTTGCACTGTTGGAACTTTTCTATTGGTTCAATCAAACAAGGCAAGCTCAATGAAGCCAAGAAAGTATCTGCAATGATTTCAAATAGTATTTGAACCCAGGTCTGCTTGGCTGGCAGAGGGCTCTATTCAAATACAGTACAGTTTCAACATCCCATCGGACCAGCCAGGGATCTTCATCAGCTGAACAGTTGAGCATAAGCAGTCAATGCCTGCGTCCCCAATGGCACCCTATTCCCTTTATAGTGCACTACTTTTGACCAGAGCCCTATGGGAATAGGGTGCCATTTGGGCACAGTCAATGAAGCCAGCCAAGCCAAGGTTGAACCCTCAGGAACTCTGTTGACATGGCCTTTATATTCCTCCCTTCTCACTCGTGTGGCTGGACAGCCCTAGTTTCTAGTCCCATAAAGCTATAGATATACAGATTAAATATATAATAATAATAATAACATAATACGCAATATTTGGTTCTGGGAGGCCGACATTATAGTTTGATAAATCATGGAAAGGCTTCTTTTAAATTGCACAATTCAAAGTCAAGTAGCCTAATGAACTTTAGGTACCATATGATGGATCATTAGTCCTTCCAGATTTCTGAGTACAGGGGTGACATGCCTGCAGGCCCACATTCATGAAATACCATTAAATTACATTTACAGATATTTGGGCTTAGCCTACAGTTTACTGTAAATAAGAATGGGCTGGGTCTACTAAGCCATCATAAAGGTAAAGCAGTGGTGATTATGATGATAATGGTAGTGATGGTTATTGCACACTGATTACACTATCACTCGTATTTCATGTCACAACGATTCACCCAAACTTTTGCTATGATGCGCTATCGCACGAGGTAGACACACACGCTTCCCCATGTTCTGGGACAGTGCTGGGCCCGGTTTCCCAAACGCATCTTAAGACTAATGCTGCGCTTACATGGTACGAGGTAGACGCAACCGAATGTCATTGTTTTCATTGAGAGCACCACGGTAAATGCCAACCGTTAATGCTGGCGGTGAACGCTGTCAGCCGCCAAGTAGACGGGACTTGCCGCCAGAGTTCAAATATTTCAACTTTAGCCGTCTGCTGCTGTAGCGTTGTTTTCTACCGGATGTTGATTTGCACTGTTTGTTTACTGAAATCAACATAGCAACGGATACCGTCCTGCTAGTTTGCTTTTGCTGTCAAACGCATAATAAATTCAGGCTTAAGATGTTTTTGGGAAACCGGTCCCTGGTCAGAAAAAATGTGTTGGTGTAAACAATGTTCTCCCCCAAAACATAGCAAAACAACATAATCTGTTTCAGTAGCTACAGTTTGGTAGCTAACTATCTAGCTAGGTGTCATCATCTAAAATACCCCTAATTTATAAGACAGTTTTCATTTTTGGTTGATGATGGTCGGACCCGGCCCTGTCAAGCCACACTAGCCCTGCTTATAACGTTATCTTGGTCAGAGATATTCGAGAAAGGAGGAGATAAGAATCCCATTGGGTAATGAATATGAAACGTATAACGCCCCTCTCAGCATACTGTCGACCAATCGCGTTCACGTTGACATCCTACGTCACGCGGTTGCTAAGCTAATCGTCATGCAACCCCTTCTCAGAGTCAGGGTATGAGTCGATAAACTTGCCTATTTTCCTCGAATGTACGTAATGTCAGGATTCCAAAGCTATACGACATTACAGAGAACAAGTTAATTGACTCAAATCTCGGAAAAGATTTGTAATGTACTTCTTGTTCACGAAATTCATGCTAATGTTGGGTTTTTGAGCTAGCACCCAATTGACTCCCATTCACTCCTTGAAGAAGAGTTCTCCTTGTCCCAGAATCACCCAGAATGCACCGCGCGGTCCATTGACAACATCTGGGCAACATACACAATGGGCGTTAATACGATT